GGGTCAAGGCAAAAGAGTTTGCACCTGAAGAAAACATCTCGCAGAAGTTACTGCCTGCATATAGAGGACCGCGGCTGGTTCTAGACGTCAAGGGCGGAGAGGATGGACTGTCCTATAGCATTGAGATTCCAGCACACCTCCACACATACCCTGTGTTTCATGCTTCAAAGCTGCTGCCGTGTGTCACAAGTCAACAGTTCCCTTCAAGAAGATCCATGATCCCCCCGGATATGGATGGAAGTTATGACATTGACGACATTGTAGATGAGGATGTGTTCAGAACAGGGGGTAGAGGTCGTCCCCAGAAACAGTATAAGGTCCGGTTTGCTTATCAGGAACCGGAAGACGACCGCTGGTTCACAAGAACATAACTTCTAGAAGCAGCTCCCGACATAGTCAGAGCTTATGAGCGTGACAGGAAAGGTAAAGGTCCCGCCTTGGACTAAGATGTTCTCGGTCAACCTCGAATTTAGGACGGCGGGAGTGAAACGGTTTTCATCTTTTAGCAGTAGCAGATGCAGTACCCAGGATTCGATCCCTAGACCTCACCCTACCCATGTACAGTATCCGTGTAGACCCGAGAGCTGACCCCGTGACCTGTGTATTCGTAGACAGTTGGTAGGTCTGTCATAAGTCCATAGGTAGCCAGGGTTCGATCTGTAGGTCTATAGGGTAGAAGTCTTAGCGAGTTCCAGAAGTCTAGTTGTAGTCCTTCTAGAAGGTAGGCAAATGGGCAAGTGGTCAAGTGGCGAGGCAAGTGGTGGACTAAACTGCAGTGCAATTGCAGTACGACGACGGTAGGATAGCAGTGAGTCCACAGTCAGTCAGCAGTCCTGTCAAGTCCCAGTCTGGTCCAGCAAGTACCACGGGGGACTGTGAGCACCATGGGCCGATGGCAAAGGGCAGACCAACGAGTTTCTGAAGTATAAATCAAGAGGCAGCGCCGAGCCTTTCATTCATTCCTGTGTGAGCCATGCGGAAGCGCTGTGTTACATGCTGCACCTGCAACAGGCTGCACGGGCCATTTTCAGGCCCGTGTCAATTTCAGCCTGAAAGCCTAAAAATGAAGGCTTACAGGCCCCGTGGCTGTTTCAGGCCGAAAGCCTGAAATCCAGGGCTTACAGGCCCCGTG